CCCCCCCCCCTGCTCCGACACCTGACTTACGCCCCTGACAACATCAACTATCACTACTAAAAAAGAAACAACAACGATAATGCCATCTCAATCATGTAAATGAACACTATATAACTCATGTGTGATTTTATATATTTTGCCATGATTATATGAAGGCAAACGAGTTGTATTGAAGTAGAGATAAATTAATTTTTTATAAAATTAGAGATGTTTTTATCTATCGTTTTACTTTTTTCAGTCTTTTCTTTGTTTTTTATATTGAATATTCTATCATATTTTATCTTGATCCTGTTACTTATGTTCTTTTTTGCGTTAACTTTGTTACTGTTACATGATCAAAGAGTAGATTATATCAATAAATTAAAAACTAATACAAATATTGTCGTATATGAAATGTACCAATGGAGTACTCGGAAAATTAGAAACGAGTAGTTGTTTATAGTACTTAAATACTCGTCAGTTTTACATAAGTACTCGCTAGTAGTACTCAAATACTCTGCAGTTTTATATAAATACTCGCCAGTCGTACTCGAACACTTAACGTTCACGACGAATACAACATATGAGTACTCAAATATCATAAGTGCGCATGAGTTCTCGCGGCATTTTCTAGCGTGAGTACTTTTTGAGTACTTCGGTATGAGTTCTTTGACTAGGGAGCTTTCATGCCATCACCTAATGGAGATAAAAAAGACACATGTCTTGATGGCAATATTTCCTCTGAAAATGAAAGTAGTTACTGAAAAGCAATAAAAAAAATAGTAGGCATATAAGTAAATGTGAATAATTCACGTTTATAGACCATGTCTATGATTGTAGAGTTGTTTGTGTGATACTATTTGTTGAAGATAAAGATTATAGACCGAGTTTTAGTGTGAATAATAGATTTTGCTCGCGAACAAAACATGATCATGAGGCAAACGGCTGTTCTAGTCGCATTTATGAAATAGGGTAAGAGTGAGTATTTGTTTAAATGTGTTTCGGCTGTGATTAGAGTAGGGCGTCGGTGTGGATGCGTGTATCACTTAAATTACATATTTATACCCACACCCTCAACTTGGTGCAACACTTTCGATCTAGATGCAATTACGAGCTCTCTAACTAATGAACATTTCATTCATCTAAATGCTTACGATTCAATAGTTCTCCATGGTTTTCCTTTTCGGCCATCGTCACACGAACTTCAGCATTATGTAAAGTCGATATACATTGTGCTGAAATACATAAGTGAAATCTATTGTATTTCTGGTCGCCTAAGTTTATAAAATACTACCATTGTATTTTTCGAATGCTTTTTTCACAGTTTCCAGGCTTTCGAATGTAACTGTTGCTCCACCAGTGAGTTCGTCCATATTATTTTTTCTTCGAAATAAATAGATGCACGATTTCTCTGTTAATGGATCAATCTAACAACGAAATAAGACAACTTAGAACTCTTCTTAGAGAATCTCCTTTTTTCCTACTTTAATTTGGCCAACAGTAGAAAACATATCTTGTATAGTATTGAATAAGAGCTGTTTGTTCATATTAGACGGTAAACCACTAATAAATATTCCATTTTCATTTAACTTTGATGTATTAGCTGAAAAGCCAAAATCAACTATTTTAGAAACATTTCTTTTATCAGACGTATCGTGAAGTTTCTTGTTTGGAGAAGCTCGAGAAGAAACAATATTTTGTTAATTTCTTAGATGACGAACATCGTGTAGCTTTTGGTGCACCGCGAACTATAACATTTGACTACCCTCCTCCTCCACTTTAAAAGATACTGCTCTTATTATGATAACAAAGCAAACATGTTATTTATGGGGATCTTCTGTTAAAGGGGTCCTATTTTGTTTATAATCTGCAGCTTAAATTCATAAAAATGTTAGGAAGTATGAATAAAACAACAAGTAACGTTTGTACACTCTGCAAAACGTCGTTTTCTAGACAACCCAGAGTCAGAAATTTTCAAGATTTTTTTACTCCGGATGAATTTTGAAGGCGGTTTCGGAAACCTTTTAAAGATTTTTTCGAGGTAAAATAGGCATTCAAAGGCCTGACGAGCCCTATATGATTTCAAATAGTAACATTTTTAGAAACCAGGAAGAGGCTTCAATATTTAGGAACGAATCATTTTTTTCAGAAATCGTTTTTGCTTTCTAGAAATGCTACGATCTGAAGCCTTTTAAGGCTTTCCATATCGTTGAATACCAGTTTTCAACCCGATAAACCCTTAAAAGGTTTCCGAAGCCGTCTCAGAAACTTGTTCGCTTAAAAAAGCCTGGAAATCCATTTTCTGGGTTTTCTAGAAAGCGGCCCTTTCTTAGTGTGTACACTTTTAAAGAAAGGATGAGCATGGGTGACCGTGTGTGATAGATATAATACTAACACCCACACCGACACCCTCTCTTCATGAAGAAGCTTACTATGGCTTATAGCTTTTGTTACTATTGGCATAATATCAATAGACGGATTCGATGGAAATAAACGACATAAAGCTTTGGCACAATCCAAGTCAATTTCCTTCAAATACAAACATTCATAGATATTTGAAAACAAACGTTAGTCGATGCCATTTTCTTACCTGGCCGTCGCTACTCAATGTAACCGGTTTATTCTTATCTAACGAATTAAATAAATGGTCGATGTGACAAAATCGTAATGTTTCACTAGAACATAAAATATTCATTTGAATTTAACATAAAATTATTACATACCATGGTATCAAATCGATCTTAACAGCATGTGAAGAATGCTTTTTGCTTGTCTGAAACATCCAAGCAATTCCTTCGCTGGCATCTCGCGACTCACAAGATAAACGAGCAATTCCTTGAAATCCTTTACGTCCAGTAACAGAAAGAAATAAAATTACGTTTTGATGTTGCTAGATAAAATAAAGTCAACTATTTTATTATTTTTTTCTTGAAAGAATTATTAACTTGAAAAGCTCGATTTAATTTCTCTTGATTGGCTTGCGATGTTATCCATATACCCTTAGAATGGTTAAACAATATTAACTACATAATAAATATGAATTTTACTTTGGTTTTAGCAAGAGTTATATTTTTTTCATCGCGAGTTTTCAATACGAAACAAGCAGCATCATAAAATATATGTTGAAGAATATCAGCTAGTTTTGAAATAAAAATAGTATGAAAAAAGTGTGACAAACTGAAATGATTGAAAATTAGAGAGTGTCCTATCAATAAGGGTGAATGTGGAGTGCAAGTATCAGTTAAAGTTCACACCCATATCTGTTCCATTTTGACTAGCTTCCATTTAATATAAACGTCGTCTATCCTATTTGAAACTATTGCGATACTCGCTGGGAATAGTATTATTTACAAGCCTGTGAATTGAAGCTTAGTATCCACAGACACTTTTTTTTAATGATCATGAAAACTTCATACTTAGCTCTATTACAAGAAGAATTTTTTAGGACAAATGACATGATCATAGGTTGTAATAATATGACACTCAATACAAGTTTACAGAATTGAAAAAGATGTCCTTTCATGAAAAAATGTTGATTCCGATCTACAGTCCCCTTTGCTATCGAAGAAATTTAGTTTAGGAACAATTTACGGTTTTCCGTCATAAAAGCTGGACCGAGTTCTGATTCCGATTTGAAGTTAGTACATGGTTTCGGTCTCGATTCTGATGCTGATGCTGATGAGAATATAACAGCTACCTCCTTGTTGTTCTTCTAGAGGTGTAAGTAAAGGTTGTTACATAGATAGATCGGAAGATACATTGAAGAAGCGTTATTCGCATAATATAAAAATAGCTAGGTCGGTGTGTTTCACATTAAAATCTTACAGACACTGCACTAACGGCTTTTTTTATGCAGTGAAACCTTTATGATCATTATGATAATTAACACCGATCTTTGATATTTTGTAGAAATTTTCACTGAATGAACTTTATCATATTATAAATTTGTTACCTCTCTAAAATCGTGCTTTTTACCTCTTTCACTCAAAGTCGGATGAAGAGATCGGCAGTTCGGCGTTCGACACGCATACGCACGCTTGCACTTTTTTTTGCGACCGGGTGGATGGATTGAATCACATTCATACTTATCGCATTCACGTCCATTAGTACAAGCACTCCATCCCTTCGGATATATGAATCCGCAATCCAGTTTGAGACATCGACTACCGTGGGAACATTGTGGAACTGCAATTGCAAATGTAAAACAAGCTTTCGTATAAAATTCAGATTAAAAAAGATTTTGCAAGGAATAATTACACAAAATCGATCATTTATGATTAAAGTCTGAAAGATTCTGTGCACAGGGGGTGGATGTGGGTGCGGATGTTCTATGTCACCGAATCCATCTACACTCGCAGCTACACCTCACACCCCCACCCCCCAAACTGACAATGTGGGTGCAGGGTGGGTGGATGCGGGTGCGGGTATTTGGGTGTGGGTGTGAGTATAAATGTGGATGGGTGTGGTCATGTGATTCAACCTATATTCATACCCACGCTCTCACCCACACCCACTCACCCATACCCCCTAAAATGATATATGTGCTCTCCCATTACGATAGTCAGTTGACAAGACCCTATGTAACAATGTTTCCTCCTCTTCCCGTCTTCTCTTCCATCGATCACATCTCCTTATAAATAGAAGAAAACTAATAGTGGATTACTTTCAACTGGAATACATTGTTTAATCATTTGGATTAGTTCACTGCCATCGGGTCGATCACTCGGGTTGTGTGCCCAACATCGTTCGATAATGGTGCGAAAAGTAGAAGGCGTTTTTTCGAAGTTTTTCAAGCGCTTACCAGCAAGCACAAATTGACGAATGACACCATCTGTACAACCATCATAAGGTATCTTGTATTCGAACAGCTCCCAGTAAACTATCCCTAAACTGTAAATATCACTCTTCTCTGTATGGTCTTCTAAATCTAGAATTTCAGGAGCAGTCCATGACAGTGAAATCGGTCGTTCAGTACTCCCTGTTGTCTGGCGTGTTGTTGCATTACGTATTTGAGCGACACCAAAGTCACACAGCTTCACACTATAACCTTCATAAATCCGTTCTAATAGAAAGTTCGCTGATTTTAGATCACGATGCAGGATAGCTGGCGATAACTGATGCAAGTAGTTAACTCCTATGGCTGCTTGCAACGCTATCGACCATCGTTCAGGCCATTCTAATGTAAGCTTATCCGTATCCTTATCTTCGTGCAGTACCTTATATAATGATCCAAGAGACATGTACTCTATCACCATTGCATAGTTTCCATCTTCCATACATGCACCGAACAAAGTAACAATGTGTGGACTACGAAGATTGTGTAATATTTTAAGCTCTTTTTCAAACGCTCTTTTGTCATTACTGGCCAAATGAATAAGGTGTAGTGTTTTGACTGCAACTGTGTAATGTGTACGCTCCCATGTAGCTCTGTAAACCGTTCCAAAGCCGCCTTTACCGATCTCCTCATCAAGCTTGAGCTCTGCATTAGGTATTTGTATTAAGCCATCCAGTTTGTCTAAATTTCAAATGAGTATGTCACTATACAATTTGACAATTATGCTTTTATTTCAGTACAATAGGTGTGTCTCATCGGTACTCTAAAAAATTTCTTCATGCCACGTTCTCCTCACGAATGTATGCAACTTCAGAATTAGATACAAATAGTTGGACACAGAAAGGCGGCGTGAGGAAGTAGACATGAAAACTAGCCTCGCCTTTAGTCATACCGTGGCTGAACTAAAAAATTCATATAGATGTGAATTTTACTATGTCATGAAAACTTTCGAGGATGAGTCATTGGTTTATAACAATATGAGAACAACGAATAACAAAAGAGAAACTATGTGAAATTATCCAGTTCTCGGCCTAATTTCTCCAGAAGTTTATTGTTATGCTTAATAAGTATCATAAACATACAAGAATAACTTTTGTATTCATTTCAACTAACATTCAATATTTATATATGGGTCATGCATGAAGACTTTTCAGGCTATTGTATCTGTTTATTTCGCTTGATTCTGTGGACTTGATACCATTGATGATCATCTGACACACTCATGATTTCACCCAAGGAATTCTCCCATCATTTCCATACTCAAAAACTCTTCGTTCTTCACATTATACTTGATTAGCAGCAATGAAAACACTGCTTCTTGCTACAACACTGACCATATTATCTCATGTTTTCGAAAACTACGTAGAAATAGAAGTAAAGAATAAATGAACATGTTACATATGTTAGACATTTTTCTAACGGAAACGTTCTGAAATATGAAATTACAGTAAGAGCTTATGTTACAACACTGATTGTTGAAGAAATAAACATGAAATGAACATTTTCTTCATATTTTGTTCTAGCTGCTTTGTACAACCTATAAGCACTTCTTTTCGGCCGAATACTGAGATGTGATATCTTTTATTTTTCTCTGAATCAGAAAATGACTGAAATATACCAGCTTTGCACACTAGATGTGCGATACTTCAAGACAATTGGGTAATACTCTCAATAACTCAAATAAACGGGACCTCAAACAAATCACTTACATCGCGATTGGCCATACAAACATATGTTCTTCTCAAGTAATCCATCGCTTACAAAAGGTATTTGTCCATATTTTGATTCCTCCACAACTGCTTTTCTAACAGCCCGCAACAACAGTTGAATATCTTCATTCGGAGTTTTAATATGCTGTAAAAGATGCTTTGTAAATAGACCATTGCGTTGCTGTCCATCCATAGCTGGGCATCGGGAACCGCAAGCAAAAGCAATCAGTGAACCAGCCATTTCCATTGTTCTGAAGTTGCCGAATTCTAAATGACTCGAGTTCAAGTTCTGCGCCTGTGACTGGGGTATAACTGGGGGATCTGATCTACAACAATCTAGTAGAAAGATTATTGCATATGGCTTGCATTCGTCTAATTCGTACAGAAGGTCTTGCGCATTAATCGCATGGTCTTCTAAATTTACATCAAGTGCATTGGAAAAGTCTTTTGGTAACAAATAGTTTTGATCCTAAAGAAAGTAATCATAAACCAGTTTTGACATTTAAAATTTAGATACTCACTTTCCACTCTGTTCCATGGCCAGCAAAATAAAATACGACTATATCGTCTGATTGAATCGCTTTCTTAAACTCACTCAGAGCATTGTCGATATCAGTCCGTGTCAAATGCAATTTTGTCGTAACTTGAAAACCAATACTTCTCAGCGTAGACGTCATGTCTTCAGTATCATTTGCTGGATTAGGCAGTTTTCTGCATTGGTCATATTCACCAATACCGATTACAAGAGCTCTTTTGCTCCTTTTTTTCATTGTGGAATCACTTGGCTCTGTAGCCATCGTGGAAAGTAAATTCAATCTGAAATAATCTAACAACCTTCAGAAGTCTTTAGATATACAAAACATTATGTATGACCCAAGGCAATATATGCAAAAATGAGAGTGATGTGGATATGAAGATCAGGGTCAGAGTGGGACTGACGTAAGTCCGTTTTGAACAACAGTTGTTTTGTCCCGAACATCCCTACTCACGAAACAAAGTCGGTGTCATAGGGAACCATTAAGAGTTCCAGCGAAGATCCTGAACCTTTTAAAGTTTCATTAATTGATTGATAAACCATCAAAAACTTCTATATGTTTTTGGTATAACCATATTTATGACACTATTCTGTCGAGCATCGAAGGACGGGAAAGGATTGAATGATCAAGCTGAAATTTATAGATATAACTACTGACCGTAGATCATAGGAACAGTAAAAGTTTTACGTGAAACAACTTCTGTTTTTAATTGGGCCAAAATCATTATAAAACGTCCCCCTCCCTTCGCAGATTAATGTAATCTATGTGAACTTTTCGGTCGTTGAATAATTACTAACAACAGAAGGATTTGTACTGATGAGCAAAAAGATTGGCTATGTCCGGATCACATGATTACTTTCATCGAGAAGCTAATGAATGTAAAATATGAGTTGCTAATGGCGTATCTCGACGGAGATATTCGAATTTTACTGTATTTACAGTGTATATGTATGATGCTCAAAATTCAAACTTTCTGCAGTATTTCTTGTTCTTTTTTTCGTTATAGTTAGATAGAGCCTGTCGAATTGCATTAAAAAAACTCAAGTTTCAAACTTTAAAAAGAGATTTTAAAAAAATATTTCACAAAGATCAGAATCATGGATGTATTTTCTCTTATCTTAAAAACAGCGGTAATTTAGATTTTTTCAAGTCTCTTTTTAAAATTTGAAATATAAATTTTCTAATGCAATTCAACAGGCTCTATCTAGCCATAACTAAAAAAAGAACAAGAAATACTGCAGAAAGTTTGAATTTTGAGCATCTTACATATACACTGTAAATACAGTAAAATTCGAATATCTTCGTCGAGGTACGCCATTAGCAACTCATATTTTACATTCATTAGTTTCTCGATGGAAATGACCGTTTGACCCCAACATAGCCAATGTTTTTGCTCATCAGTACAAACTCTTCCATTGTAAGTCAAAGCTACCTGAATAGGATCCTTAGGCAGAGTCGAAACGTGTTGTAGTTTCTTTTGACTCACCATCATTCTCATCTATTCTAAGAAACCTCTGTCGTATCTTGCACCAAAAACCATCAGTAAGTTCTTGTAACATGAGAAGATGTTCAATATCGAGGAACTTTCTGTCACATAGAATGGCATTTATTTCAATAATCTGTATCAATCTTGTTCAAATAAGAGAGTTGAAAAGAGGTTGAAGAAAAACAGAAACATGCGTATTGGCGAGGATACTAAGATATTTGGCTTGAAAAGAGGTAAATTTGAAAGCTGTTTATCGCACAATCAGAAAAAAGTTGACGATAAATGCGGTCCGAGTACTGGCAAATAGATATTTGTCCAAGTTTCGTGTTACTCTATCAATATCATGTGACATGTGGAACATGAGAATGACTTTCTTTGGCGTCGTTGTTTTTTGAAGTTTCGGAACAAACATATATGATGAAACACATGGTTGCAGGAGGTTTTAAAGCGATTGAATGTGGTCACAAAGCCTTTGCAAGCATTGCATGTTTCACCAGTATACTGCGACATGATGCCATATCGGTGTTCATTAATACGCTTGACAAACAACTTTAACTCTTGCCAATCGGTAAGGTCGAGGAATGATTTTTTATCAAACTTTGTGTCTGTTTGGATTATTTCCCAATTGCTACTCTCCGTCTCTATTTCCGCCGTGTCACTGCGACGCTTACCCATCCATTTCCACACACATTTGCTTAAGTGACATTCGACTGGAAACATTTTTTCTTTTTCTGGACAGCTCGAGCAGATAAGCGGATCTGTTAACACTACTTTCGCCGGTATACAAATTTCGAAGGTTTTCTCATGATCACACTTTGTACACTGGTAATGCAAAATGAAAGTACATCGCACTTCATTCTTGCTTTTTCTTTGATTGGCGCCACGGGACTCGGCACCACCGCGGGCTCTTGATGGAAGGTCTTCGTCGGAAAGAACTTCAAGGAACAGCGTCTCATTTTGAATAAAATCGTCGACAAACTCGTTGAGCAACAAATCGTCGCAATCAACGTCATTGAGACGCAAATAAAATGCATCCTCAGGAATATCTGGTGTCGGATGTCTATAAAAAAGCCATAGCAAAATCCTTTAATCTGTACTTTTCATTGTGTTAAACAAATTCTAAGAACTCGGTCTAGAAGAGAAGCAGCAGACGATATTTCTTGAAAAGAGGCCTGTTTGAAGTATATCCTCAAATATATCTCCTCGGAAAAAAATAATTTCACTCGATATTTTTAACATAATATCGCTAGAATTTAACATTTTGAGGAAAAGTAATTATATATTCAGATTGCGCGTGGAACTCTCTACACTCCTATATATGCATGTTTTAAATTGCACTTGTTCGCAAAAACAAATTCAATCACGGTGAAAGCATTCTCTGCACCAGATTCCTCGAAAATGCATTTTTTATTTTTCTTTCATCTTTCAAACTTATTTTAAATATTTTTAAATAAGTTATTACACAGGTAAGTTAATAATCTAAAAATGCATGAAATTTTGTATCATCCTATATTCTTGCTAGTCTCTACTTGCAATTATTTGATGATGCATACTTTAAGTATTGTCAATGCATTCTCACCCCTCACTCCGTGCCATTGAGTCTTCCACAAAATCCTCGGTAACTAGTTGGTGAAGGCTCAGTAAGCTTTCGCTATTGACGAGTCATCTATTCCCGAAATTATGGGATCACATCGGGTCAGATGCACTTCCGCTATTAATAAAATGGTCGTAGTTTAGACTCGCTCACTCACTTTCGCTGCAAGGTTTTGATCAGATCCCTGAACATTGGCTTGTCCGCATCAACTTGGACTTCGATCAGTTCGCCGTGGCTGCCATCGCTCAAAGAAACAGCAGGAACACCAGAATTCTCATGCGATGCAATGCTTTGTAATATCTGGTGTGCTTCGTCATTGGCTCCTGTAGATGCTTGATCATTGTCGGTCAAAGAGTTATAACGCTGCGAATTCAACTTCTTGTTCGGAACATTGAGTAAATGGTATATAAAATAAGTTTGTCCACGTTGTTGTCCTTCTGTCATTATTGTTATATTTATTCTAGAGACAAGTAAGAAGCCAACGATTAATTGTTATTACAACAAAAATGAATTGAAGAAGAAACATAAGTTGGGTTTGGGTGTGGATAAGGGTGTGGGTGTGGGTGTGGATAAGGGTGTGGATAAGGCTGTGGGTGCGGGTGTGGATAAGGGTGTGGGTGCGGGTGTGGATAAGGTGTGGATGACGATATGATTAAGAGTGTGGGTGAGGGTATAGGTGAAAGTGTGGGTGTGGGTGTGGGTGAG